GGTACATTTTTTAGGGGGGGGGGTGAGCAAGGTCCCCAACGAGAGCAAAGTGGGCGTGGTCGGGCGTTGATTAACATATTTCGAAAGTGGTCCAGGGGTCGGAGACAATTTAGGGGTGTCAGAGGTTTATTTAATCGATTTTAAATATAGATCGTCTACTAATAAGTAGAAAATACATTTTTTTTTCTCCCCGACGAATTGTGGTTTTTCTTCTTTTTTGGGGGAGAAAACTGGGGGAAAAGAAAATTTTCTGGGAGGGGGAAAATTCAACCCCCTCCCTCCGTAGCTCCGCCGCTGGAAAAAAGTAGGAAACGTTTAACGCGAATATTATTTAGAACTTCATTTTAGAGGCTGTCAATGCTTCCCTAATTTCTGCTTATCCGAGTAATGCGAGGCGCATAAGGTCTTAGCATGATACGCTATATAAGCCTACCATTATTAATATTAGGCCTATAAACTGAAGTCAAAATTATTGTTCAACTATTGTTGTAGGGTATAGACCTGTATTTAGCATATTCTGATAAAAACCTTATCAAAATCTCTGTACAATACACATTGTTATGGCGAATATGTCCTGAGGCTTATAGACACAAGCTTTCCATTAACGATTTTTCAGAATAATTATTTAAGATAAAGGAAACATTAGTAATTTCACTGGTATTGATTTATATATTATCTTGATAGTACGCTGAACCTTGGAGATCTTTGGTCCCCGATGGTTCCCGGTTCAATTATATCCCGTGTCCTTTATGCGGAGGGCTAAAATACAATATACGATAGCGCACCATCTTTTGGATAAGACACTTAAGGTTCTGGGTAAAAGAACTTAAAGAAATAGAATGCAGTTCACTCTTCAGAAAAGAGTAGGGGATGGTCTCTGGTGTACTGCTTAACTCGCCAACAGAAGGACCACTCTGGAAAAAAAAGTCTTGGGACTTGGGTTTTCCTTGGCGTTATTAACACTAATATCCTATTAAAGCTCGTAATGAAGCAATTTCCAATATCGTCGGCATTATGAAAATGACACCAATTAATATAAGCTCCCTATCATGTTTCCATAATGTGTATATTGTATGCATTATATAGTGATTTTGTATACTGTATATTGAGAGGGAATATATATGATGAGCAGTATAAGTAGGACGCTTATGTTCCTCAGAGATAGATCATGGTTCACATGGCAAATGATAGGGATATGACCTATTAAATATATATATATATATATATATATATATATATATATATATATATATATATATATATATAGACCTATATACTGTATATAT